ATGTATTTCATGGAAATTGACGCGTGACTGACCGAAGCCCATCCCACAACCGACCCCCGCACTTTAACGGGAGGTAGAGAAATCGGAGTTGCGTGGTAGTCATCCAGAACGCGCTGGGAGGCTTCTCAGCACCGGGGAGGTCACAGCTTGCAATAATCCGGGGACAGTTTGAAATGATGATTGACATGAAAAAGGTATAGATGCTGGCAGATGACCATTTCGTTGCCTAACCAAATCCAACATTTGCGGTTGTGTGTTGTGGGGGTGCGGTGCGTGTTGAAGCGTCGTCTAACCAATGGTATATGATAATCAGGAATGATATCTTCGGGCTCATCAGGATGGTACTTTCTTCGTGGCTGATTTGCGTGTCTAATCCACTGTTCTGTTCCTACTTGCAGTTCATACACTACTTGTCCACGTTTACCTAGTACAGTTTTTGGAGTCCATGTTTGACGACGCGTTCTGAAGTCTTTTTGTCGCCAATATTGAATCCACGTTTTGTTTGTGGATTCTGAACTTCCACTGGTGGCGTTCAACTATCGGTTGCGGGTAGTTTAGGGAGCATCAATTCGTATTTCGTCTTTGTTTTCCTTCCCAACAAGCATTCGCCAGGTGATACAGCGTTTGACACGTCTTGATTCGGAGTGGTGAGGTGAAATACATCCACATTTCGTATTGTGGACCGATGTTTCGATCCTTCAGGTGAAAAAACGTAATTGATATATTTGGTGCTTGAATGACAAAATTCGTTCACAGGACTATCCCAAAGTCCCAATTTGTCAATCCACTGAATGCCAACTAAATTACGTGAACAGTCATTGGCAACATAAGCCGGGGAGGTAAATATCGCATTTTACTATTCCAGCAATAACCATTTGTTTGCCCGAAGCGTCGTTATAGGCTGAATTATTTGTTTGTTGGTGTGGTGGACAGCCTAGGACTTCCCATGAATGGCGTCAAACGGTGTCAAACTAGTTATGTCTGACGTAGAGTCAAACTGAAAAATGAGCGGGACACTATTACTATCAGTAGACATAAATTTCCGTCTAGAGGAAAATTCTGTTGTGGCAGAGAGAACAATATACAATACCTATCAGTGACTCACTGAAGGTTTGCGATGTAATACATTTTGTTTGGATGATAGCTGTTTGTAATGGTAATAGTTTGTGTATTTATGTCCTTTTTTATCACACACATGACAGATTCGGCCGGTATATGGACAGTATTTCACAAAATGCCAGTCACCACATTTCCAGCATGCTGTGGGCGGTCTAGAATTGGGTTTGATTGATGCATTGCAAGCTTTCCATTTGTTCGGTGAAACTTGTAAGCGATTCACGTTCTTGTATTCCGGGCATTCAGCTATCAATGCGGAGTCCATTTTCATATTTTTGATCCGTTGGCGTTCTTCTGTTATGTTGTGCAGAGTGAGGTCCGGGAAATTTTCAATTTGCGACAGTATACGATTGCGTAATTCTGCATCGGCGGGTGATTGCAATCCGCTGAAGAATAGCAGGCATTTGAACTGGTCCATTGTGAGGTCCTTTAGTTTGAATTGCTCAGCCGCCAGCTTGAATCTCCCTGAATATGTCACAAAATCCTCCGACTGTGTCTTCTCGACTTGGAGGCACTGATATCATGAATGACATAATGAAACACGAGCACTGCATATTTGAGTAAGGTACTTCACTGTTTCTGAAAACTGTATGTCCGTTGGTTTACGATGTAGGTTATATAGTTGGTATACCGTTGATGTTCAACGGGGCCAAGTTTGCGCACGAGCAGCATTACTTTGTCAGTGTCATCTCACACAGCACAATCCACGGTGAACTTAACCTCAAATCTTGCGTATCATGATTCGAACGTTAATTCTGCATCTGCGTCATATGTGAATTCTGTAATCGCATAGGCGAGGTTTTCACTGCTACGAACTGCATTTCTTGATTGAAGCGATGAGAGAGAGAGAGAACAAAGACCGTCTGACCGTCACAGATCCGTGTGTGTTCGAATTAATGCGTCCGGAACTAAACCACATGACAAGAGCAACAATCATAACATCATAAAAAGTCAAGGTCAATGACACTGTCTGTTTACCTGCTAACAATTGGCACCCTAACATTGGAGAAATCTGTCACATCTGTATTCATCATTCCTGGTGATTTAGACAGAATGGATTGGAGTTTACGCTCACATGTCCCTTCGGAATATTGCTAGTTTTTCCACTCGACATGATACCTCCTTGGGCCACATTTTCGTTAACGAACCATCTTTTTTCCATGCCTTCAAACGTGTACCAGTAGGCAATTCCGATCACTGTCTGATTAAAGTTTTACTAACAATACATAGTAAATGCAAGCAACAAATCCCGATGAAGAACGATGCACGTAAGATACGTTTACGACGAAATCACCTGCTCAATTTGAGTGAATTAAAATCCATGGTTGGCGGAACGGACTTACAACAACTCTCCGATCCTGATATTTCAGTCTTCTGTGAGAAT